GATGCCCCCAAACGCGAGCGAGTGATCGAAGTGTCAAACTCAGAAAAACTCCATACGGTCGGGATAGGCATATGTATGTATGTATGGATATATATTAGTAGGTATTTCGATTCTCTTCCCAGACAGGTTCTCAACGGCATGCTGGTACCAACATCGTCGGAGTGAACAGGTGAGTGAAATTTAAGTTCCTTACGTCGGAGTCAGTTTTGCGTACCTATGTACATGCATCCATACGCCTAATTGAGTACATGCTCAGTTGCAGACATTGAATAATTTACATGACTGAAAGTCCGTTTGCATGTTAGGGTGTATATGACTTTACAATTATATTAATTTTTTTTTTATTTTTTGCTCCTGTTTTTTTTTGTTATTGAATTCAATTTAACTTGAAGATTTAATATTTTTCTTGGTTCTTTTCGCGTTTAAATTTACGATTGATTTGAATTTTTGAAATGCTTAATTTAATATGGTGAGAGCACATCTTGCCGCTATATTTGGCATTGGATTTGGTTCGGGAAATAATAAAATGTTTTTGGTTGTAAATATATCCACATAATAATAGCGTTAGTATTAGTAAGTAGCTTTTTTTGTAGCAGCGTTTATCATTCGTATATATATAATATATATATATATACATAAAGTTCTGTAATAAAGCAATTGAAAATCATATTCCTCTTCGTATGGCTCAAGCAACCAATCCATCTTGTCCTTGGTTCACCCAAAGAGTATATTCGGCAATAAGAACTCGTAACAGGCTATATGCAAAATGGAGAAGGCAAATTACTGACTTCACCTGGTCTCAGTATAAAGCTGCTCGAAATAGAGCTACTTCACTTATCAAGCAAGCAAAAACGAAATACTGTGGCGCTAAATTGGACCCATCACTTCCTTCTGAATATTTATGGCGAAACTTAAAAAACTTGAAAGTGCATGGAAATTTGAAGTCTGAATGTGATTTAGATCCTTTCATATTAAATGACTTATTTACAGCTGCGAGTAGTAACATAGGTGCACCTCACACTTCGAAAGCTCTCTGGGTTGATAGCACCTTGGAAGAGAAATTTCAGTTTGTGGGAGTAAGTAAAGGTGATGTTGTTAGAGCCATATGGGGTATTAAATCTGAAGCTATTGGTGATGATGGAATTTCCTTGAAATTTGTGAAATTAGTTCTTCCATTCATATTGAGCGTCGTTACCCACATCATTAATCATTGCTTCACGACAGCATGTTTTCCTGCGCATTGGAAAAAAGCCATCATACTACCAGTTGCAAAGAAGACTACGCCCATTAACCCTAGTGATTATAGGCCGATCAGCATATTATAAGCTTTAGCGAAAGTATGTGAGTCCTTGAAGGCAGCGAAAATTTCATCATTCATCCAGAAAAATAAATGCTATCCCCACTTCAGTCCGGGTTTAGACCGAAGCACAGCTGCTCTACTGCAATGATGAAAATACTTGCCTATTAGACTTCTCAAAGGCTTTTGACATGGTTAATCATGATTTGTTATGTAAAAAGTTAAAACACTTCTTTGGATTCTCGGATTGTGCAATAAAACTTATAATGAGTTACCTTGAAGGTCGAATCCAAAAAGTGAAAGGGAAAAATGCTTTCTCTAGTATTAAAGCTCTTTTGTTCAGTCTATTCATCAATGATGTGTTCTCAGTATGTAATACCATGTCCCCACCGGAGCTAACCACGTAGTTACGGCTATTGAGTTGGTTATCCCGATAACCCACTTGATTTAGCGTAGTTTCGCCTTATAAAAATGACAGCACTTAACCATTTCACTGAGACGGTTAAAAGCTAACCAACTCGAAACCACGTCGAAAGTCTGATACAACCCTGTGTTTTCCCGCCATCTGTGGGTCATTAGCGTTGAAATGTAAAGAATTAGTTCCCTACTAGTGTTTGGACTCAACTAAAATCAGATTAGATTTACTCCGGTTTTAAAAAAAAATTGAAATCTACTCCTCTACTCCGCTGGACTTCAAATCTATTCCGTTTTTTTCATTCATGTTCGTTTTTTGAGTGTTCACCACCGGTTTCAGTAAAAAAATTGAAAAGTAGCCAAATCTCACTGTTAAAAAGTAACTCTTTCATAGCAATGCGTCAATAAATTAACTTCGTTATTTTTTTACGTATGGCTGTACAAACTGGCGGATGCAGAACTTTACTTAAGTTGTTAAAAAATATATGTATGTATGTATGTATGTAGGTTTGCTTTTTAAAAAATTAAGTGGTAGATACGTTCTACTTCATAGAAAATGCTAAAAATTACCTAAATATGTAACATATTATCCTTGCATTGCTTCGCGTTCTTATTTTGCATGAATAGAAAATATTTTAGTCAAACAATTAATGTCAGAAACAAAAATAAAAAATTCAATCTAGTACGGAAAATTTGTTTTTGGTCCGATTTTTGCAGCGATTTAGTCCTGAATCGAAGTTTGGAGGTCCGAACACTGTTCTTTACATTTGTCGACTTTAAAGTTAGTTGCAGCTTTTTTGACAGATATCCCATTGAAAATTATGTCAAAAAGCTGCAACTAACTTTAAAGTCGACTTTATTTTGACTATGACTACGGGCCATAAACTGAGCTTCCGTAGACGACAAGGCAACCGTAGGCTGCTTACGAGTGGCCCACGAAATGGCACCTCCTTGTAGCCGGAAGACATACCCAGTTGTTGAACGGCGTTCATCTTGGTCGCCAGCCCAGTCTGCATCACAATAGCCAGTTAATTGACCAGCGCTGTCTTTGCGGTAAGTCAGCTTCATGTCAATTGTGCCCTTTAGATAGCGAAGCACTCGCTTGACTGCCTCCCAGTGCGCCTTACCATGACATGTGTTGAATCGGCTGAGTGAGCTTACCGCAAAACCGATATCGGGACGGCTGATTTGTGCAGCGTTCATAATGCAGCCGATCGCTTCTTGATAGGGTATCGACGCCATCACCTGCTTCTCCTTCTCGGTTTTTGGACACATATCCTTTGATAGACGTTGATTTGGGTCCATTGGGGTAGCTACCGGGATGCTATCTTGCATATTAAATCGACGTAATATATCTGATAAGTATCGCTTTTGGTCAATGGAAATTGATCCATCATGATTTCGAGTGATGTTAATCCCAAGCACAGACGTTGCAGTTCCCATGTCTTTCATTTTAAAGTGCTTAGACAAATCCTTTTTGAGTTTTGTTATCATCGTATTGTTACTGCCAAAAATCAAAATATCGTCGACATAGACAGCCAATATGATGATATTTTGAGCCGAATGCTTAAAATAGACGCATTGGTCAACCGCAGATCTTGTAAAGCCAAGCTGTAGCGTCAAAACGGAGTTTAATTTCATGTTCCACATTCTACTCGATTGCTTCAAGTCGTACAGCGATTTTCGTAAACGGCAGACTCGTTTGGTTTCAACCGCAAAGCATTGCGGTTGGCGCATGTAAATTTCTTCTTCCAATTCTCCTTGGAGAAACGCGGTTACTGCGTCCATTTGGTGAATTGCCAAATCGAACTTAACAGCAGTAGTCAAAAGAAAACGTATTGATGAGTAACGAGCAACGGGAGAGTACGTTTCGTCGTAATCAATGCCCTTGATTTGCGAGAACCCCCTCTTTACTTTAAACACCCCTTTGCAATCTATAGCCTTTCTACCCGGAGGCAAGTCAGTCAACTCCCAGGTTGCATTTTGAATCAATGCGTTGTACTCTCGTCGCATCGCATCGGTCCATTCTTTGCTGTCATCACTGTTTAATGCTTGCTGAACTGTTGCTGGTTCACTTGAGTCAGCTGTTGCAGCCAAAAGTCCCAGATGTGCGTCGCCCGCTTCATCGTCGCGATTGCTTCCATCATCGGAAGTGTTCGTAGGTGACATCCTGCTTGTAACGACAACATTGCGGAATAAATCATTTGCAGGATTCCCAAGACTACTATCCCCTTCGCCCTCACTGAATCCGTAAAATGATTCGACTGACATATCAGTTATGTTATTAATCACCCCAATTCCATTGTTTCGCGAAGTGAGTTGCTGTCTTGGCAGCTGTGACTGTTCTTCGCTCTGAATTTGGTCTCGATTCAGAACGACTCTCTCGGTGTCTTGCTTTTCAATTGCGCCTGCTGATCCCTCACTGAGTCCAGGCATCTCGTCATCGTCACTTGAATCGTCGTCATCATCGTCAATAAGCTCAACCTTGCGCACAGAGCTTCGTGTCAGTGATTACCTTTGTATTCTGGTTTTCGAAAAATGCCACATCGCGACTCACAATTGTCTGCTTGGTTTTCTGGTTGAACATCTTGTATGCTTTTGACTGCTCACTGTATCCAAGGAAAATACACTTGTATGACTTTGAGTCCAGCTTTCGTCGATTTTCTTTCGGGATGTGTACATCCGAATACGCGTAGCGATGACAAATCCGGTTTATTTTCGTCCAGATTTCCTCCGGCGTAGTGTTCTTCATATCCCTACATGGTGTTCTGTTGATTAAGTAAACCGCCGTGGCCGCCGCCTCTGCCCAATATTGTTGAGGTAAATCAGCATCGATGAGCATACAGCGCACTTTTTCGATTATTGTGCGATTCATGCGTTCGGCGACGCCATTTTGTTCAGGCGTGTAGGGCGCAGTGAACTGATGCAATATTCCATGCTGCTCTACGAAGGTCTTGAACGAATTGTTGCAAAACTCTTTGCCGTTGTCGGATCTTAATATTTTTATCGTAGATGCTTGTTGATTTTCGACGAACTTCTTGAATTTTATAAAAATATCGAACGTTTCATTTTTGCGCCTCATCGGATAAGCGAACACTTTCCGGCTGAAATCATCCAAAAATGTTAATAGATAACGGCATCCACTGGACGACGATGTTGACATGGGCCCGCAAACGTCAGTGTGGATTATTTGCAAAATTTTTGTTGCACGATTACCACTTTGATTAAACAAAGCACGCGTTTGCTTCCCTTCCGAGCATATTTTGCATGGGTCCAAAGCACCATTTGACTAACATTTGAAACCTTCAACCGATGATTGAATACGAGCTAAATTGCTGTCACACGCATGTCCCATGCGCCGGTGCCACAAGCTCCGATTTACTGTTGCAGTTAGCGCCGTAGCATTGCGTTGCGTGGTGCAACTAAGCCGATATAAATCGTTAACAAGTGGTGCCGTGGCTATTAATTTGTAGTTTTCGTTAAAAATACGACAGTTTTTGTCGTTGAATACTAGTGTTTTGCCAGTTTTTGCCATTTGACTAACAGACATTAGGTTAGCAAAAATGTTTGGTATACACAAAACGTCTTTTACAGTGACTTGCTCATTATAGGCATTTCCATTCGTTGACATGGTCATGCGAACATCTCCAGCACATTCCACGTTTAGGCGTCCATTGTCCCCGACAATAATTTCCCTTGACTTCGGCTCTTGCAACTCACACAAATTATTTGAGGACATTGTCATGTGGGCAGATGCCCCAGAGTCAATAAACCATTCATTTGCAGTTTCCGTTTTAGCAACAAGTGATGTCGACATTAGCAACAAATTGTTCGGACATTTTTTTGACTTCGTTGGACATTTATTTGCATAATGCCCCTTCGCATTGCATTCGAAACACACAACCGCTTTTTTGTTAATTGTCCGTGCACGATCTTTTTTCTGCTTTTTTGAAATAAGAGCCACTACGTCATTATTCGTTGATTCATGTCTTACTTCTTGTAGCAAGTTTGTGCGTACTAGGTCAGTCGACAGCGCTTTACCACTATTTGCAAGCGCCATTACCATTGGACGGTATTCGTTTGGCAGACCACTCAGCATGATTTGCGCAACAATATCATCAGGAATCTTCGTTCCAGATTTGTCCAATTTTTGTTGTGTGCAAGTCAGCTTATTGACGTAGTCCTCCATGGACGAGCAATCAGTTAGTTCCAGTCGCATCAAATACTTTAGGAGATCCATGCGACGCAAGACACCATTGTCCTCAAACGCAGTCTCCAGCGCTTCCCACGCGGTTTTTGCGTACAATTCTGCACGTATGAATAATTTGACGACTCTATCAATAGCCCCAACGCCGAAATTGCCTGCAAGTTTTTTGTCGCATCTTGCTCAGCTCCCTCGATACATGGCCAGTACCCCTTTAGCACCAAGTAGGACTTAGCTGCGAATTTCCACGTGTCATAGTTCTCTCGACCCTTCGTTTTTCGATCTTGTCAATTCCCATCGTAGTGAATCCACGTGATTATAACCTCCAAATCAAACGAGTTGCTAACCGCAGCAATTATGTGCTTTAATTAACACGAATTATGTATCAAAAAACGAAGAAATCGAGTAGCAAACGTTATCTTTTTACTAGTTACACCTTTTTATTTTTATTTTGCAAAAACGTGAGGCCCATAACCTGTTATTGATTTATTTTTTATAAGGCAGAAAATAAAAAATACGTCTGGCGATTTGGCAAATAGAGATGAGAGAGAGCTTTTATTAGTGATAAGCTTTTGTCTACCGATATACGTTTCAGCTTAGAGTTATCGATTACAATATATATACAACAATTCCAATTATAAAATTGTGATGTAGCTTTATTCGAATTGTAATACGCATTTAATTTCATCTTCCGATTAAAATGGATCGATCTTTGTAAATTTTAATGGGAGATTATTCAATATTATCAAAATCACCCTCTACCAACTTAATTTTTACATATTTCGTCTGTTTTCTTTTAATTTGACAAAATACTTCTTCCTAGTTACGACTTAGTTGCAGCTGCAGCCGAAACTAAATTTTAAGTTGGTACTTAGTCAGAAAAGTCGAAACTAAGGCGACTATGAATAGCTTTAGTTGTGACTTAGAATAGTTTCGACTTAGCTGAGTACTAAATATGACTATGAATATGCGCCATAGTGATTTGTCTGCTATATCGCAGTGGGCAAACGATAACTATCTATGCCTAAATGCGTCTAAGTCCTTTGTGTTGCCAATATGTAAACGCGTAGTGAATGTTGAAAATATACCAGATTTGTTTATTGGTAATAGTGTGCAAATGTTTGTTAATAAGATCAAAAATTTAGGCTTTGTTATCAATTCAGACCATGTTAATAGTGTTGTCAGCAGTGTGTATTCTGTTTTGCGAAGGTTGAGAATATCCGCTCCATTTACGCCATTGGAAACTAGGCGAAAGTTAGCCCAACAGCTCATCGTGCCCCTTATAACTTATTCAGAACTTGTCTACAGCAAATTTGATTCAGCTTCCTCCCACAAAGTTAATGTTCTCTTTAATAATGTTACTCGTTACGTGTATAGTCTAAAGAAGTTCGACCACATATCTCAGTGGAAAAATAAAATTCTGGGGTGTAGCATTAATGATTATCTTTCAGCTAGGAACTGCATATTTATTTATAAGTTATTAGAATGGAAATCCGCAATGTATTTGTATGAGAAGCTAAATCCAACGAAATCAAAAAGATGTCGCAATCTGATAATCCCGAAGTACAACTACTTGACATCGTCGAGGTTGTTTTTTATCAACGCTGTAAGACTTTGGAACATCATTCCTGAATCCGTTAAATCTGGAGTAAGTAGGAGCAACTAAAAGTTGATCATATATAGTTACTATAAGTGTACATAGTTGGTGTGATTTTGATAAATCGTTTGCTGTTCTCTCATCTGTCCATATTTTATTATCTTCGTTGCTAATCTCTATATCTTATTTTCCTTTATAAGCTTACATATCTCGATTATTCTTGTTAGTCTTAAGTATGCTTATTATAAATTTATTTTAAAAATATTATGTCACTAATTTAAGTTGATGTACTCTTAACAGATTATTGTCTTACTTGTACAACCATTGTTAACCGACTTCCAAAAAAGGAGGAGGTTATCAGTTCGTCGGAATATTTTTTTTTTTTTTTTTTTTTTTATGTATGTTACCGCATAACTTTGGACCACGTCAACTGATTTCGATAATTTGCAACGGAGAGGTAGTGTCTCAGAGGTGGTCCCATACTAATTGTGTTTAGATCCGATCATTGAATCATGAAATATATAGAGATATATATATATTTTTTTAAGTCGGTTTTTTTTTGCTAAAAATCACTTGTTTTCTTCAATAAACTACCTGACCCACAGATGGCGGGAAAACACAGGGTTGTATCAGACTTTCGACGTGGTTTCGAGTTGGTTAGCTTTTAACCATCTCAGTGAAATGGTTAAGGGCCGGTTACTCAATGTCTGGTTAACACCAATCTGCGGTTAAACATCGTTATCGACGTCTTCGACTCCATGCATATAACAGGGAGTCGGTAACGTCGATAACGATGTTTAACCGCAGATTAGTGTTAACCAGACATTGGGTAACCGGCCCTAAGTGCTGTCATTTTTATATGGCGAAACTAAGCTAAATCAAGCGGGTCATCGGGATAACCAACTCAACAGCCATAACTACGTGGTTAGCTCCAATGGGGACATGATATTAGTGTTATTCGATACAAATGCACGACATGAAGTACACACCGACGCCAGTAGTATTGGTCTTGCAGGTGTATTGCTACAATCAAACGACAATAAAAACTGGAAACCTGTAATGTACTATAGCAGGCATTGAAAGCCGCTACCATTCATACGAGCTAGAATCGCAGGTTCTTACACATTTCCGGATTTATGTGTTGGCTAGAAGATTTCGTCTGGTAACTGACTGTTCAGCAATTGCTCAAGTTATAATACAAAAAAGAGCCTAAATCTAAAATAGCCCGGTGGTGGTTAAAGCTCTTAGAATATGATTTTGAAGCCGTGAAATATGTGAAAAAGTATATAGCCGCTGGCATAGAATATTGTTACTGTAAATCTCACTCCGGTAAAATCGAAGTAAGTCTACATTACGACTCTCTTGATACTATCCCATTTAACACAATCCACATCGATCACCTAGGACCTTTCATACGTAGTAAGAAAGGAAATAGCTACGTTCTTCCAATATCAGATGTATTTACGAAATATCTGATAGTTAAACCCGTACGAGATCCAAAGATTTCTCATGTAATGAACGCCTTAAATGAAATAACATCCTATTTCAAGTTAGCATCGCAAGTTACAACAGACAGAGGTACTGCTTTTACCTCAAAAACATTCGAATTGTATTGTGGAGGTTATTGTATCAGACACACTAAAACAGCTGCATGATTCAATAATAAAAGGTTTGCTCAAAAAGCAGTTTTCTCGCTTCCTCTTGACAAAATCGTCTCCCTTAGCAAGGCACTGTGTGGGGGTTCGTGTGTGTGTGCAACGCTTTTGTAAGGGAGCTAAGGGAGTATCAAAACTCTAATGTCAATAATGAGCAAACCTTTAATTATTGAATCATGAAACAGCTGTGCGTACATCGCGTTCAAACAGCCAAGTGGAACGCGCTAATCAAACTATATTAAACTATTTGCGTACCTCGGTTGAAAACGCTAAAGAATGGGACCTAATTATACGTAACGTGCACTTGGCTATAAACTCGCAAAAGAACAGCACATCAGTAGCGCGTTTCTGTAAGAAATCGACAAAATTCTCGATTATAGTGACGTCATATCGATTCGATCCGAGTTTGTCGATTGGCGGAGAAAAAGTGTTTCCGTAAGCATTAGCCGACAAAATTTGGAACAATGAGAGAAATTATATGCCAATCGACAAGGAATTGTGAAATCGAATTGAAAATTATTTGTCAAAACATTTTGAAAAGTAAGCATGAAAACAAAAATGTGTATAGAAAAAATTTTATATTGATAAATATTTATTTTCAGCTATGAGTTTGTTGGTAGCTACACTACAACTAAAAGTCGTGTTGATTTTTAGCAACTTTTTCACGCAGTTTCATCCATACAAAGTTTGTTCTACAGTTTTTTTTTATGTATGCAAGAAAAAATTGCCAAAAATCAGCGTGTTTTTTTAACAACTTCAAACTTGCATTTCGTAATACTAAAATTGAATGGGTTATAAAACTACATACTTAGAACTTTTATGAAAAATCTGATTAAAAAGTTTCAAACTTGTAGGCAAATTTATTGAATTTTCTTGAGATTTCCACAAAGTTTCGAGATTTTATTTTTATGTTCTTTGTTGGAGTATGAACTATATTTTGTAAAACTTAGCGTACTAATAATTAGTGCTGCATTGTGCACTGTGTGTTAGTGTGTGTGTAATAAAAAATAATAAATACTAATACCTATTATGCACTTCAAAGGTATAGAGAATATTTTAAAAAGTAAATTTGCAATTTCACAGTTTCATTGTGCTGAAATTATATAGAAAGATGTAGGAAAAATAAAGAAATATTAATGCGATACAATATTACAAAAAGCCGTTATCGTTAAATTTTACCTGTCATAGCTTCTAAAAGAGCTTTTAATGTATCATGAATGCCCTTTAAGGCATCCATATGCTCCTTGTGCTGCCTCTCCAACAAATTCTTCAATTGTTGGTGTTGGGTTTCAATTAGAACACTAGCCTCTTCCACGCAACTTTGGCTGCTGCGCTTTTTGTTTGTCTTATTGGCCACAACTTCAAACCCCTGACCCGGTGGAAACTCGACTACTTCCTCCTCATCAAACACGTCGAGGTCAACCATGCCTACCTCCGGGAAATCAACACTTTTAGCCGTTGACTGTACATATCGAACGTAACACTACATTTCATAGTCTACTCGACTTTTAATTTTGAGAAATGTTACTTACTGCCAAACCGATTTCGGGAGTGGCTCCATCCCCATCCACCATGTCTCTTGAAAAAAATTCCAAAACTTCAGTGTCCATAGCGTCCAAGGTTTTTGGACCGTCCTGCAACGGTAGATTGCCAGTGCGTCTGGCGAACGCTCTGTGGGAATTATTTAGTTTTTTCACAGACGCTTTCCAATCAATCCAACACTAAAGGATAAACAATACACATAAAAAAAAACGTCAAACAAGTCTTTTGTTATTAACTTTTAA